TTCCATATTTCATCTTTATTTGTCATACAATAAGGTTTTGCTCAATATAAGCCGTGCTGAATTACACTCATATTAAAAAAAAAAAAAAAAAAAAAATCAACTTATTTACAAAAAGATTTTAAATTCTTTTACCTAAGTAGCAGTGTAGGTGAATAAAAGAAAGGATCTTTAACTATTTAAAAAAAAGTTGAAAATCATATGATACATTTTGATACAAAATATGAACAAAGAGAAAAAGTCGACATCGTTTCTACAAATGAATGCCAAAATACATATTAGAGAGCATATCCATAAACGGTAAACTCAACTCTTAGACTTGCATTTACGTTTAGCCACTGCGAGTATGTCAGAAAGTTCCTTAGGAGTTAGATTAGTGTGTGAAAGTATCTACGTGTTCAAGGTATGTACGTTTTATGTTTATTTCATATTCAAGAAATATAGAGCATCAGCATTAGAAATATATCAGAAATATATAGTGGCCCTGAGCAACACGTGGCTCTCTCAGATTTTTCAATGCTTCCAGATCTTCGACGAATCATTGACCACCGAAAATAGCATAAGAATCAAGGATAAGTAACAGATTAAGCTGAAATGATCCCAAGTGCCCCAAACCGCGGTTCGGTCGCTGAAAAAGAGGGAATCACCGCATATCAGAATAGCTTTCCATTTCATCAGCAATGAAGGTTGGTAATCTGCATTTCTTTTGATTAATCATTGAGTAAGGGTCCTTTTGTTGAGAAAGGTTGCACGCCCTAGATATAATGGGCATGGGAAAGCTTCCGAAGATGAATGTGCCTTAAAAGACATAACTTTGATAAGAAAATTGACTTTGATTAATACTGTGGCGATGTTCAATTAAGTGAAGACGTGCGATGTATGAACCATTCCGTTCTTTGCCTCAAGTGGACTACAGGCAAAGAGAGACAAGCCCAACGAGCAACAGAGATGGTGAAAATCCACTCCAGTTCGAGTCCCATCCCGAGGTCAAGATAGACAGAATCTATCTACTTCTTGGTGATGGCGGAAGGCATCTCTCCCCTTCCGCCTCCGTTGCCGGTATCTGCGCCGTCGCCGCCCTTGATGCCTGAGCTGTACATGGTTGCCTTGTTGGTGGTCGAGTCTGTGGAGGAGGCGTTCGTTAGGATTCTCAGTGTGATTCAGTCAAAGGGGATTAGTCTTGGGATTATTCTGCATGCATTGTTTTGTTCTATCGATAGAGGGATGGATACTTATACGTTGTTGTAGCCGGTTAAATGTTCTCTCGGTCTCTGTCTACCAGGCTCTCTGTCTACCTGTATGTCTGCCTGTCTGTATGTGTCTCTGTCTGTCTGTGTCTCTGTCTGTCTATCTGGTTGTCTGTCTGTCTCTCTCTCGTTCCCAAACAAATCCATTATAAAATCTCATCGAGGTTCTTCCAAGATGAGCCACAGGCTTTGTGCTCATCGAAATTACCCTTCGTGTATTTTCTCCAAAGGACAACTCAGAGCAACGGATCTGACCTGAATTATCCTGGCTCTTGTCCCCCACGCAGCCCTTAGGGTCGGAATCCTTATCGAGACCTGAGGTATTAAGGGCTGCATCGCCTCTTGTTGCTGGACGTCCTGCAGAGACAGTAAAGATATAATTTTCCTAGCATTTGCTTATCAGGGGAATCAGGAGTTCAGGTTTAATATTTATGCTTTAAGATGAAATATTAAAATGAAAATAGTTAATGGAGATTCTTTTTGTGACTTACCTGTTTGCGACATGGTGATCAATAGAGAGCTATTAAAGCACTTTCTGCAATAAAAGATACAGAATCACGTTAATGCTACTAATATCACGTCATATGCTGAAAAATAAAGATTTTTTTTTAGATTTTTTACAGGATAACAAACCAAAAAAAAAAAAAAAAAAAAAAATCTTTCACAAGCTGAAGCTATGTCCATTTTTAGTCTCAAATATACGAAGATACTTAATATGCTACCTTCCAATATGTACTCTGCAGAAGACTCCCTTATCAAAGGAATGTTTTACCTTCTCGCAGCAGATGGCGGAGGCGAGTGAACAGTGCCCTCTGCAAGACGCCTTATATCGGGCACCAACGCGAGTCGGTAGTTAGAGCGCAAGACATGAAGGAAATTTCCCTTCTGAAACCCGACTTGGCAACTGGATTCATAGTCGTTCAATCCCGAATTATCAGATATACTGAATTTGATAATCTTGAGAGTAATTATGTAGTTATTAGTGAAACAAAATCTGATTGAATGTAAAAAAATTGGCTTTACGTGAATCGCTTGTTATACGTATGGCAACACGGCATGCCCCAGTACAAGAATACGCTCCGTGGTATCTATTGATCGCACCTTTGTCTATGTACTATTCTATCTCTTCGTCTATCTATCTATCTGTTGATTTTCTATCTATTTGACACTGTGTCTACATGTCTTACAATTCATTTATCGTTTTATGTTTATTTGTCTATGTAAGTATGTATAAATAAGTACGTATTCGTCTATATGTGAATAAAATATATAAAACAGAAAAATCTAAACAAAAGATAGATAAAAAGATAGACAGGTCTGCTTGTACATCTCTCTCTGCACTTCCATTTTTTCTCTATATAACTATTTCATTATCTATCTACCTATGTATATGTGTATATACATACACAATACATACATACATATATATATATATATATATATATATATAATATATATATATATATGTAATTTATTCATATGTATATATATAAATATATCCATAAATACACACACACACACACACACACACACACACACACACACACACACACACACACACACACACACACACACACACACACACACACACACGCGCACAAACACACACACGCGCGCGCATATATACATTATATATATATGTATAAATATATATATATATATATATATATATATATATATATATATAGACATATGCACACACACACATATATATACATATATATATGGGTGAGAGAGAATGAGAGAAAGAATGAGAGAGAATGAGAGAGTGAGAGAGAGAATGGGAGAATATGAGAGAGAAAGAATGAGAGACTGAGAGAGAGGGAGAATGAAAGAGAGAGAAAATGAGAGAGAGAGAATGAGATATAGAGAGAATGAGAGAGAGAGAGAGATGAAGAAAGAAAGAAAGAGAAAGAGTAAGAAAGAGAAAGAGAGAGAGAGATTCCACCCACCTCCCGCCCCTCGTGTTGCAGCCCACCCGGTCACCACCCACGCCCACGCCGCCCTCGAACCGCTTTCATGCCGCCCTCGTTTGCATTGCGGCTTACGAAGGGACACTTAATGATATATTGATGAGGATAATGAAGATATTTATGGTGCGAATAAAGCTGTTAGTAACAAGACAAGAAGCAATGGATGATAATATCAGTGATAAGAATAAGTATTCTTGATAAGAATAATGAAAATATGGAAAATGACTAAATATTTGTTTATTCGCATAATCTATAGATTATGTAAATATAATAATACACACATATATACATTATACATACATACATACATACATACACACACACACACACACACACATATATTTATATATACATTAAGATTTTGAGGCATATGAAAATATTCATGCTCGTGTGTTTATAAATATGCTTAATGTTATGTTTTGTTTTTCCAATATATTAATGTCAATCGAATTACCTTTGTCTATCATTGGGTCTGTTTGTGCCTCGGTCTTTGTTTTCTTTTCCTTTCTTTATATATATAATATATATATATATATATATATATATATACATACACATACGTTTGATTTTCTTTCTCAATCAGTCTTTCCTGTTTTTTTTTTCTCTCTCAGTCACTCACCCTTCTCCCTTCTCTCATGAACATTTCGGGAAGCAACTTATGCTTCACATCCAAGAATTAGAAGAAAAAACCTGACAGAGGATTTTAGATTCTCCTTTCCAAAATTGTAGCTTTACAGGGGACATTGACATCAAAAGAATTCCATGTTTCATCTTTATTTGTCATACAATGAGGTTTTGCTCATTATAAGCCGTGCTGAATTACACTCATATTCATAAAAAAAACAAGAAATCAACTTATTTACAAATAAATTTTAAATTCATTTGCCTAAGTGTCAGTGTAGGTGAATAAAAGAAAGGATCTTTAACTATTTAAAAAAAAAGTTGAAAATCATATGATACATTTTGATACAAAATATGAACAAAGAGAAAAAGTCGACATCGTTTCTAAAAATGAATGCCAAAATACATATTAGAGAGCATATCCATAAACGGTAAACTTAACTCTTAGACTTGGATTTACGTTTAGTCACTGCGAGTATGTCAGAAAGTTCCTTAGGAGTTAGATTAGTGTGGGAAAGTATCTACGTGTTCAAGGTATGTACGTGTTATGTTTATGTGTGTTCATATTCAAGAAATATAAAGCATCAGCATGAGAAATATATCAGAAATATATAGTGGCCCTGTGCAACACGTGGCTCTCTCAGATTTTTCAATGCTTCCAGATCTTCGACGAATCATTGACCACCGAAAATAGCATAAGAATCAAGGATAAGTAACAGATTAAGCTGAAATGATCCCAAGTGCCCCAAACCTCGGTTCGGTCGCTGAAAAAGAGGGAATCACCGCATATCAGAATAGCTTTCCATTTCATCAGCAATGAAGGTTGGAAATCTGCATTTCTTTTGATTAATCATTGAGTAAGGGTCCTTTTGTTGAGAAAGGTTGCACGCCCTAGATATAATGGGCATGGGAAAGCTTCCGAAGATGAATGTGCCTTAAAAGACCTACGTTTGATAAGAAAATTGACTCTGATTAATACTGTGGCGGTGTTCAATTAAGTGAAGACGTGCGATGTATGAACCATTCCGTTCTTTGCCTCAAGTGGACTACAGGCAAAGGGAGACAAGCCCAACGAGCAACAGAGATGGTGAAAATCCACTCCAGTTCGAGTCCCATCCCGAGGTCAAGATAGACAGAATCTATCTACTTCCTGGTGATGGCG